GTGAGTGTGTGTGTGATTATGGTGTCCTGGGGAGGCCTTGTGTGGTGGTGGAAGGATCTTGGGGTTTGTAGAAGATAAGGAGCAGATACCAAGGCCTAACATGGGCCAAGGCCGAGTCCTGTGGACCTCAGCCCAGATGTGAGCCTGCAGGTCCTAGACGGGTCTGGGCCAGAATCCTATGGGTTCCCGTACCCCTCTAGGGTCATGGACCTGGCCATCTGCTGCAGACAAATGTGTATACAAATAACATGGAAATGGATGAGATTTGTGGCTGACCCACCCCCATCCCCATATGCCCTGGGCTTGAGTTAGCTCAGCCTGTGCTCTTCTCCACTCAGCTGCTGCTGGGGCTCTGCGAGCAGGCCCTGTTCACCCAGAGCCAAAATCCATATTTTCCCAGCACCTGCCTGTGGCCAGATCCCCTCTCTGTGAGGGCTACCCCACATCTGGGGCAAGGGATGCCCAGAGCTGACCCGGGCTGGTGGCCACGGCAGCACCTCTGGTAGGTGTGCCTTTGAGTACACACATACTCCCACATTTGCACACACAGTCACCCGTGAATGCACACCCACAACTGTTCACACGCCTGCGTGTGTGCATACACACACCTGCACACACAGACCCACGTGCGCACACACACATCTACACACATCCCGTAGGTACACACCTGCACAAATTCAGCTATAGCATGCAAGTACCGCGCACCCCCACAAAGAAACTTACAAACCTGTAGTCACACCCTCTCCCGCCTTCACCCTCACCATGTCAATGGCCTGGGTGTAAGGCCTTACACACCTGCACACACTCACAGCTACCTAAGGGTGGCTTATGCCCATGCTCCCTCCAGGACCGAAGCATGGAGGACAGGCTGTAGATGGGCACGGAACTTGCAGAGATGTCAGCTTCCTCCAGGCGCTCTTGGATCGTCCCTTTGCAGGGCCCCTAGGATGGTAGAGTCCCTGGGCTCCAAACCCCAAGTCATGGAAAGACTGAGTCATGCACACTCTCTCCTGAGGAGCCTCCCATATTGGGATCTGGTCCTTGTTCACAGTCCTTGGGTCCGGCATGCACAGGCAGGCCTGCCTGTCCAAGAAAGCTGCTTTGTGACCAGCTAGGCCTACTGGATGCTGCCTCCCTCCACCTGAGCTGCCTCCCTCCACCTGAGCTGCCTGAGCCCTCAACAAGAACCAGGCCAACTTTTACAGTTGCTGAGAAGTCTGAGGCCAGACAGAGCCAGAACATTGCCTGAGGTCACCCAGTATGTCAGGGCAGACGTCATTCAGATTTGAAGCTGGGCTTCCAGGAGTGTGACCATGGTTAGCAGCCACAGGATGGATGCATGTCAGGCACCAGACAGGCTTATGGAAGTAGGCCATGTGGGCATGGGGAATGAGAGCAGATTGGGGGTCTATTGGGGGTCAGCCGGAGGGATGGCGGGCAGGAAAGTCTGCTCTCCTGGCCCGGATGACAAAGTGCTTTGTGGGCACAGTGACCCACAGGGATTTGGGGGGCCTGGTACGCAGGTTGACAGGCTGTTGGCTGAGTCACTTTTTCCTAAAAATACTCAGTAGCTGGGCCACTGGGCAGTTAGAGTGGCCCGTAAGGTGGGGTGATGAAAAGAAGTGTGTAGCGGGGCTGGGCCAGGCATTCCTGGGGCTAGGCTTCCTTGTGGCAGAGATGGGCAGAGGGTTCAGGGACTGGGAGCATAGAACCCTCAGTCACAACATTGTTGGGGACAAAAGGAGAGGTGGGAAAATCTGTTTTTCTCACATGCCTTTCTTTAAGATGTGGAGCATGAATTTAGGGCACATATTGGAGCCAGATGGCCCGGGTTTGAATTTTGGCTCCATTACTAACTGTGTGACTGTGGACAAGTTACTTGGTCTCTCTGTGCCTCAGAGTTCCTTATCTGTAAAATGTGGCTAATAACAGATCTGACCTTATAGCATTGTTGAGAAGCTGAAATGGGAGGCACATAGTAAGTGTTGAATAAATGTTAGAGCCCCTCAGACACAGAGGCCGCCAGCTCCAGATGTACACGCTCAGGCCCTAGGGGCCAGCCCTGTCCCTCGATTCCATGGGACTGAGGTCAGCCGGGAACAAGATGCAGCTCATCCAGGGTTCTCAAACCTGGCAGCAAATTAGAATCACCTGGGAACATTTAAAAATACCTGGGATGGGGGAGTCCCAGGCATGAGGCAGGGTGAGAACCCAACAGAGAATCACAGAATGAAGAACTGGCAGACAGGGATCTGGCGGGGGGGGGGGGGGGGGGAGGGGGGGGAACGGATGGAGGAGTCCTAGCCTTGGAAGAAGAGTCACTTCCTGGCAATGAGGGCTTGGGCACGGTCTGTCACTTTGCCATCTCGAGGAACCTCGAGGAGCCTCGAATTTCAAGGATTATATGGGGGGATGTTTTTGAAAAAGCCTCTGTAACCTGGCAAGCATCAAAAGAAAGAAGCTTGTTTCTTGAATCTAGTGTATTAACATTTCACGGGTGGGGAAAATCAGGCCCAGAGAGGTTCAGTGGCCTGCTCAGAATCACACAGCAAGTCTATGACAGAGTTAGGACTCCAAGCCTCAGAGGAATGCTTGAATCTGAAGGACTGATGCAGACTAAATATGAGTTGAAGGACGCAGAGAGCACGTACCTGGGGCTCCAGCCACTGAGCTGCAGTATAAGATGACCAAGGAAGATTTACGAAATCACTTCTCACGAGCTGAGTGCTATGGAGGTTCTGCCTAGAGCTGAGAGCCCAAGTGACGGTGGCTGTGCTAGGCCAGGCTCAGCTCTTGATTGCACGGGCTGACATGGCTTCCCCTGAAGAACAGCTCTGGCCAGCAGCTCTAACAGCTACCTCCTGGGGACCTGTGTCCCAGCCACACTATAAAAGCCCAGGACTGACAGGTGCTCAGGATTTGCCAAGTGATTTGTGCACTGGGCTCACACTCAGTCCTTTCATATAGCCTTTACATTGGTCACCCCCTTTACAGAGCAGGAAACTGAGGCCAAAAAAGGAAGGGAGGCCCTTTTTTGGGCCAGAACCTTTACACCATCTTAGCCCATGTAGATTTCTAGGGTATTAAAAAGGAGGCCACATTCCCCCAATTTGAAGATAAACTAAAATACATCGACTTGGCCGGGATCACTTGGATCTCACTCCTCCCCATGTTCCCAGACATGACTCCCAGGAAAGACACAAGAAGGGGGACCCAGAGGACTAAGGTAGCATCAGGGGAAGGCCTCCTGGAGGAGGTGGGCCTCTGGCCCCTGAGTGATAAGCAGGCGGACAGGATCTGGAGGGCATCAGGGATAGCGTGGCATGGGTAAGGGTCTAGAGGGGAGGATGAGTCAGTCACCCAGCTGAGTAAAGGAGGAAGTATAAATTTAAGGAGTGGTGACAAGAGGTTCAAAGCTAGGAAGATAAGTCAGGGCTAAATTACAGAGGGCCTGCCATGTCAGACTGAGGATTTGGGCTTTCTTGTGTTTGTGGTAGGGAGTCTTTAAAGGTGCCTAAGCAGAGGAAGAAGCATGTTCAGAGCTGGGCCTCAGAAACAGAGGTGGGAGAAATCCTAGCTCGGAGGGTCTCCCCCTGAGCTGATGGCACAGAAAGGGTTTGGCCCAGCCTGTGTTTCAGGGGCCTGGACTGTGTCCAGGACTGGGCTCAGTGACTCAACGTGGAGGAAATCACTCCCCAGGGAAAAAGGACCCAGATGAATCAGCCCCATGAGGTGGGGAGGCAGGGGGCTCACTGAGTCACCCTGCAAGTGGGGGAGGGGGCTGTTGCAGAGAGAGGGGCTCGCAGTGCAGTGGGAAGGATTCAGGGCAGACCACAGCGAGGGCTGTCAGGGGACCCTGGCTGCCTTCCCACCTTTATCGAGGTTGATTATCCTGGCAGTCTTGTGAAAGAGATGGGAAAACTGAGGCCCAGAAACAGGAGGGAATCTGACCAAGGTCATGCAGCTAGTCGCAGGCAAAGGCCAGGTGTGATCCAAAGCGCACCCTCCAGTCCAAACACGTCCTACCACCCCAGCAGATCTCACGGCAAGTGGAGGCTAGGAACTGGGTGGGTCCAGGCAGGGAGCTGACCCAGGTGACCCCTCCTCCCTCCGCCTGCCCCCCACTTTCCTTGCCAGGCAGACGGCAAATAGGGCCGGGCTGTGCTGCCGCGATAGGACAGCAGGGGGCGCAGAAGCGTCACGGCTGTCGCAGGCGCCAGAGCACAGAGGCCGCTCTGCGGAGAACTGCGCTCCGGACGCGCGGGTCCCACCGGCGAACTGTGGACTGTGTGGCCCTGGGGCCTGCACCCTCTCCGGCTTCCGGGGACGCCAACGCAGGCCTGCCTGCCCCGTGCTGGGGGTCCGGGGCCCCTACCCCTCACTCAGGAGTGGTGCCCCTGTCCGTGTGTGTGCTCGTGTGTCTGTGTGCACGTGTCCCCCTCACAGACTGGCTACTGCCCCAGGCCTGTCCGTCGCTGGGCGACCTCTAAAATTCTCCCCGACTTCCCCGTTTCTCCTGAGGAGGAGCGCCCGGGGCTCCTTGCATCGGGTCGGCGGCCCCTTTCCCCGCCCCTTATCCTCCGCCTCCCCCCCACCCCCACTCCCGTCACTGCGCTGGTCTCTGGCTTGGGGTTCTGGCCGGGGCCCCAGGACTTTCTAAGTGGGGGGAGAGGACGCGATCAGACAAGAGAGGGACTCCGAGAGGCGAGGTAGCGACAGGAGGGGCGAGGGGCCAGAGGAGCGAGCGGAAGCTGAGAGCTGGCTACCTGGTGGGGGATCCCCATAGCGGACAAGCTGCGAGAGTCTGGCGAGCGGAGAGAGAAGGGAGGTGAGAGCCAGGCGAGGGGACCCTGGGGGTCCGCAGGTCGGACAAGCGGAGAGGTGCAGCTCGCGGTGGCGGGAGGGTAGGCGGGGCCGCGCGGTCGGGGGGCGGGGAGTGGGCGGGGCGGGGCGGGGCCGGGGCGGACCCTCGCGCGGACCCGGCGGAGCTGTCGCGGACGCGCTGACCGAGCGCAGCGGCCGGGCCGGCGGGCGGGCGGGCGGGCGGCTGTGAGCATGGTCCTGGTGCTGCACCACATCCTCATCGCTGTTGTTCAATTCCTCAGGCGGGGCCAGCAGGTCTTCCTCAAGCCGGACGAGCCGCCGCCGCCGCCGCCGCAGCCATGCGCCGACAGCCTGCAGGTAGGGGGGCCCCCAGCGCTGGGCACGAGGAGGACCGGGTGTCGGGCGAGCGCCCGGCCGGGTCTTCCAAGGAGCGTGAGGGCACGGCTCCGTGGTTCACTCTGCCCCTGAACCCTCCTCAAGGTGGGGCCCCCTTCTCTAGCTCGGAATTCCACTCCTGTGCTGGGACTGCAGCCCATACCCGGAGCCCTTGAATCCCCAGCTCGCAGTCCAAACCTCACCCCAGACTCTGAACCCTTTTCGGATCTGGGACTCCACTCCAAGCTCTGAACTCCCAATCCACAGTAGGACCCCAGTCCCCACGAAGAGCTCTGTTCAAACCTGGAACCCCTTGCTTCCCAGATGAGTGGATGACCCCTGCCCAAACCCCTGAACACCGACTATATATATATATATCGGACTCCAGGTACACCCAGAACACCTGAACCCCCAGCTCTCAGCCAGGACCCCATGTCACAGCTGGAGCCTCACCCCAAGCCCCTGAGCCTCTACTCCACAGCCTCATCTGTGCCCCCACCCAGATTCCCACTCAAACATCTGGTCTTCGGTCCTCACCTGGGACTGTACCCCAGGGTCCAAATGCCTCTATCACAGCTTGTGTTTTTCTCTGCAGGACCCCTTCCCACCTGGTTCCTGCTTTCCTACCCACTCGTGTAGGCGGTCATCTAGTCTTTTAGGGGTCTCACCCTCTCCTCTTATTTCTCTCTAGTGTGTTGGTCCCACTTTATTCTCTGGTTTCTCCTCTGCCTTTTCTGAATCTTTCTGAGCATCCTCTCTCTCTGCCCCTCCGTTTCTCTCTTTTGGTCCCTTTTGCCCATGTACATCTCTCTCAGTCTGTCCATCACCCCTCCCCACCCCCGTTTTTCTAGGTCTCTATCTTTGTTCTAGGGTCTCACCCTGTGATCATCTCTTCCCCTTATTATCTGCTTCTGCTTTGGGGTGAGGAAGCGGTAGGCTCAGAGTGTGGGGCCAGTGTACCCAGGACCTCTGCCTGCCCTATGTCGTCAGGCATGGCACGGTGTGGGCGCTGGTGGAAGGGACTAACCATGGAAGGCACAGCCCTTGGGCGGTGCCCAGGGATCTAAGGTGGGTGGGGGTTGTGCCGTGGAGCACTGGGGTTCATAACTTATAAATCCCCCATCCGCACTGTGCTGGTCTTGACTGGGGGCAGCTGGGGGCTTGGGATGGGGGAATGGGGGAGTAGACTGCAATCTGGTGCCCGTGACCTGTGGTGGGAGCTTTCTGGGGCTGGGTGAGTCTGGGGTGTGTGTGTTTGTGTAGGATGGGCCACATTGCATGTGTTGGGTGTGCCTTGTGTGTGATCATTTGTGATGTGCCATGTAGTATATTGTATGTGGCATCACCAGCGCGATGATTTGGAGGGATGCATGGGGGCTTAGGGCAAGGGTGAAGATTGCATGCATGGGGTTGCATGTCATGTGCAGCTAGGAAGGCTGCATTGTGAGTGCGGAGTGGAAGCTGTATGTATGAGTGTTGTGTGTACAGGGAACATGAGTGTATGTGCTGTGTCTGTCTCCATGGGGTGGAGTTGTAGGGCCAGCCTGCACGGGGGGGTTTGTGTGCGGTTGCGCATGTTCTCAGCTGTTGCGTGTAGCCAGGAAGAGCCACTGTGGGGGCCTGATGAAGGGTTGCGTTGGACATCTTGGTGGAGGGGTGTGGGGGTGGGGGAGCTGTGTGTGGGCCCGAGTGTGTTTGCAGCCTAGGTGGCTTAGAGTCTCGGTGGTGCATCCTGGGCTTGCTTGGGAAATGTTTTAGGACCTGGGTGTTGGTGTTGGAGTGTCATGTGTCTGTGTCATGGCCGTGGGTGCCACTCCGCATAGGGAAGGGTGCAGCAGCCTGGGCCGAGGGGTCCAAGGCAAGGGGCTGGTTGACTAAGTGTGTGTGTGTGTGTGTGTGCCCACGTGCACATGGGCAGGAGGCGGCAACGTGCCGGTGGGATCGTCTGTGCCACGGGTCTGTGTGTGTCCACGAACATGTGACATTAGGTGTGCACATTATCTATGCAGGGTGTGTCTCTCTGTCTAGGTGGTGTGTGTGTTGAATTTAATTGGATGTGTGTGTATCTGTGGTTGGGGAGGTGAGTGTGGGGTGTGTGATGTGTGCAGTGGGAGGTTGAGTGTGAGTGTGGCGTGAAGTGTGGGTGTGTGAGCTGTGTGACTTTTCAGTGTGACGTGTGGATTATGTGATCTTTTCTCCCTGTGAGCTGTTGGTGTGTGGTGTGTGGTGAGGGGTGAGGGGTGTGTGAAGGGTGTCAGTGAGTTAGCAGTGTGGGGGGGCAGGCACAAGGTGTGTGGGGTGAGGAATGAGGTATATAATGTTTGAGGTGCGTGGAATACAGCAGGTGTCCCATAAATGTTTGTGGAATGATGTGTGTGTGCAGGGAGGACTTGGCTGCCATCCTGTCCTTGCTTCCCTCCCAGTTAGGTCCCCAGAGATGCCCAGTGACGTTCTGTCATGGCCCACCCCAAGCTAAGCTGCCTCTACCCTTTGCCCTTCATCCTCCTCACTTTGACCGAGGCCTTTGTCTTGGGTTTCCGGCTGAGCAGGCATTGGACAGGCAGGCGGCTGGTGATGTCGTGCTCTGGGAACCTTTGTTCTTTTCCTTTTGGTCTGTGTCGTGTTTTGGGCTGGGCTTTGGAGGAGGGCGGGGAGAGGATGCACGTGTTGTAGGCTTACTGTGTTTACTACCACCTCACAATGCTCCACGGTGGGGAGGGGTTCAGGCACAGGCCGTGGGGCCTGGCTGGTATCCCCAGTGGTGTCTCCTTGGGGCAAGAGCGGCTTGGGCCGGGCATGGCACTGGGTGACTTTGCCAACTGTGAGGTCTTCGTCCCATGGCTGGCCCAGTACCCTCTCTGGCTCACATCATCTGTGGGGTGCTGGGCAGCCAGGAGCCGCCCTCTGCATACCAACCTGTCCTCTTCCCTTCCCTGTGTAGCCCTCAGGGAGTGTCCCTGGGCTGGGAGTCAACCAGGAAGGCCTTAATCTATCTCCTCTTGTTGACCTCACATCTGACAGGAGGGAGAGTCCCTGTCCTCACAGAGACCCTTATCTGAAAAAAAGGAAGCCTGGTCACACTTCGGGGACCCTCTAGTCTGATAGGGGAGATGCCAGTCAGTAGGAAGACCCAGGTCAAACCCTCCAGAGAAAGCGATGGGGGAGCCTTAGTGGGCGGCCTGCTGACAGGTATTCAGGAGGAAGAACGGCCAGGACTCCTGACGGTTGGAAGGCACAGACTAGCAGAGTCATCAGGGGAGGGGGCTGGGGGCAGTGCCTCAGTATCACCTTCCAAAAGGTTCTCTGCTGTGAGTGGGCTGAAGCTGGGCCTGGAAGGGGGTGTTGAGTAGGCAGAGAAATGTGGCCTGGGCCTGAGGAAGATTCTAGCTCAACTCAAAGAAAGGGTCTTGGCGGCAGTTGATCCTTCCCAAGCAATACTGTCTGGCTTTGGATGGCCATCCCTGGGCCTCCAGCCTCCTCAGGCTTTCAGATCCCCTCTTCCCACCCCCTTGTCTTCGGCCAGAATGACTGTCATTGTCATCATCATCTTTTAGGCAGCTCTTTCCAGATCCCAGCCTCCTTTCACAGGGGTCTCATTTAACAGATCAACTTGTTTTCTTGTCTATAACATTTATTGTGCACCTGCTATGCACCAGGCGGGACCAGTTTGACACAGTGGTGCCCAAATAGGCCTCCTGGGGCTCCTACCTCCTGTGTCAGAGAAACCCCATCTAGCTAGCCCAGCCACACTGTCAGCCCTCCCGTCTGTTTCCCCAGCCTGATGTGCCCTTGGTTCTGTGAGGCTCCAGGTGGGCACCCCATGGTGTTAGGCTCCAGCTCCCAATTGGAAGGCAAGCTCTTCAGAGGCAGGGCCGGGTCTGCCCATCCCGTGTGTCCTGAGCTGCGCTTGGCAGAGTCCAGATGGCCACATCAGTCATCAGATGTCCATCACCCCCTGTAGGGGTGGCAGCCCATCTGCCATCTAGAGAAACCAAGGCCCAGAGCAGGGAGGGGACTTTGGGCAGCCTCCCCTTTAGACCCTCCTTTTACCAGGGTTACCAGAGACCCAAGAGGTCAGGTGATGTGGCCAGGTTTCACAGTAAGGTGGCAGGACACAGCAATTCTGTAATTCCCAGAAAACAGCTCTACTGGTCACCAGGCTGGGCTCCAGCCCCAGCACCATGCTGCTTCCTGGCTGGCCTCCGGGCTGCCTGTGGTGTGTAAATGATTATTAATGACCCTTCTGGCCAGGAGACAGGAAACGTTTCCCAGCCACAGCTGGGGACACGCTCCCGGCCAGCCTCAGCCCTCCACACCCAGCCTGGCCCTGGGGTCAGCACGCGTGGTATCTCCGTGCCGCCTCAGCCTTCCCCGCTCCTCCTGCCCAGCCGCCCCACAGCAGTTTCCTCTCTGGGTTCACGGACAAGAAGAGACAGAGCTTTCTGTCCCACATCTCTGTCTTAGCACTTTCTCCAATTTGATTCATCTCCACCTTCTTCCCTGCCCCAGACCAGCCAGAAGGAGCCCTTCTCTTGGAGGTCTTTTCTGAATGCACAGCTAGGCCCTCCAGCGGCCCTCCTGGGCCCTGACCACCGACTCTCCCTCCTGCAGACTTGGCTCCCACCCTGCTAGCCCTTCGTCTAGGCTGGGCACTTCCTGTGGCTTGTCCTCAATTGCTGTCTTAAGACTGACACTTGGAGGATCCTCCCAGATGCCTCCTCCAGGAAGTCCCCAGCCCAACCTGGGACTCTCACTTACTCCGAGCATGCCAGCCTGCCTGTCCAGGCCACACACTGTGTACTGCCAGGCCTTCAAAGGTGGACATACCTACTACGTGCCCAACAGAGGTGGGAGGTAGAGATGAGCACAGTGTGGGCTTTAAAGCTCTGCCACACACTGGCCCACGTTGGAGCCATAGTGCATCCGCCCCATGGCAGCTAGGCGGACCTTGGCCTAGGTACCAGGGCTGATGCTGGGCAGGT